TTATTTGTCGAAAAGTGGGATAACAACAACATAACCATCATAAACTTCAGAGTAGTAAAATATTGGAGTTAAAAGATACACTAATCTAGTAAAAGGCTTTTCCTATTTTTCTCCAATTTTGATCTTGAATTAAATTGTTGAAGTGAAAAAAAAAAAAAACACCTATCCAGTGAAGGGTTTTATTATCTTCATCAAATTTTATTCTCAAAATTTTTGGGATATCTCAATTCTTTCTGTGCTTCCATTAAATTGCTGATATTCTTGTGTCCTGAGATCAGCAGAAAATTAAAAATTAAAAAAAAAAAAAAAACCAATCCTGGTTGGTTTGGTGGCACTTCTATTATTTGGCGACACTGGCTAGATGAAAAAAAAAAAAAAAAAAAACCAATCCTGGTTGGTTTATTTGGCGACACTGGCTAGATGAACATTATTAACCGACTTATGTTCCTTTTTAGTAGGCAATGCCAGCATTAGCTTAGCCTAGACAACTAATTATTTTTAATGACAATAATTACTCATTATCAGGCAAATAATAAAAAGCATAAAAAAAGGGAATAAATCATCAATTGGGGTGGTTCTGCAACCTGGACTACTATTAAATCAACTATTTCGTAAAAAAAAAAAAAAAAAAAAAGGATACGCATTGGTGGATAGGACTATTCTATCTATTTTGATTAGCAATAATCAGATTGTATAATTAAGTTTGGTTGATAAGGAATACTTCACCATTATCTTACTAATGCCAGCAGCATACTATTCTGATTGGATTGATTATTAAGATAAAGTTAAATAATTGAAAATGAAAAGGTATCTTAATTTGGTTACTGAAATATTAGTAGTACAAGTCTACTTGATTTCTTAATCAGCAACTGATTATTAAAAAAAAAAAAAAAATCTGTAAGGATGTCATGTAAGACCAGTTCTTGCTCCCTTCATTGCCTTAGGAGGGCAAAGGATGCCGTGTTACTATAGGTTCATTATATTCAAAGATGAATAAAAAGTGTATTTTTGTTATCTTGACAGGATAGCAACTTTTTATTCGAGTTGGTTGAAGGAAAGGTTTTAGGGGATGTTTGGAAAATGGGTTTGAAAATCATTAACGGGTATCAAATTTAATGATATTTGTTCTTATTGTTTGATTAATCACTATTAGAATGATACAATGGGTTTGAAAGTAAGGATGATTATTGGTTAGTGAACATCCATACCATTGTGAGGCTTATAATTTTGATTTTGGTTTCCATGTTGAAATGCGAATCAAAAGCTCCATGGTTGTTTAGATGATTATTGAGGTACACCTCCCTTCATAATTCCCTTTTCTTTTTTTCTTTTTTGGATGAAGTATCTTCTTTCGCAGGGGAATTTGATTAGATAAACTGGTGCAAGAACCAGAAGCCATTTAGACAAATTGTTCTAATTCACGATTCCTCCCACCTTACCATCCAACCTAATCCTCCCTCATTGTGCATGGTACCTTAATGACTCGTAAAGATTCAATATTACAACGATTCTTTTATCAAATTAGGCGTTAATTAACCTACTAGTAAAACATTCCAAATCTCTTAAATAATTAAAACTACATGCTGTTGTGTAATTTAACATAATTTGGGACATTGAGTCTCAACACCATCCAATCTAGCATCTACATGTTTTTTTTTTTTTTGGTTTTTTGGGTTCAAAAAAAGGGTGTTTTAGCACCTAAAAAATTGCCCTTCAAATTAATTGATTAGAGATGGAAATGTCCCATTGGGAAAAATGGGCCATGACTTGACATAAGAAGACTGTCCAGAGTCACTGGTCAGGGCAATTATCCAGACAGCCATAGCATTAGAATTTAACCCCCTTGTGTTCTCAAGGGCCCAGAAGCTTAGTTCTAAAGTGAGGCCAGTCAACACCAAAAGCCTAATCCATCCATCAAGAACAAGAGGGTCAAATCAGACAAAATCATACAATCACCTTTAAGACTTTAGCCCCCATTATCCAGATGCATGCGCACGCTCAGATTATCTTCATTTGACACCGGGTACGGACATGATCTGCTCCATGAACTAACCTTCTAATCTTATAAAGCTCTCTTAGACTTTGGAGTTCTTGAAATGGTTTTCTTTTCCTTCTTTCTTGTGCCTTTATATATATATATATATATATACACACGGTTCTGGCTAACAGATGCTCATTAGATACTCGATGATAAAAGTGGTTTTAAGTGTTAGTTTTTTTAGAAAAGTATAATTAATTCGAGAAAACATTAGAGTTACAATTCAAGTGTTTTGTGTTAAAGACATTTTACACGAGCCACCTTAGATGCATGGTATCGTGTTGCGCATTAGAGACAGTAGATTGTGGAATCTCCCAAGCCGTACAGCGTGATCAAATTGGCAAGTCACCAGCTACAATGTGTGGTGTAAAATTTTATCCTCTCTTGTCTGCTGCGATCGTTGAAGTCTCCAAAAATTTGTTTGCTTCTGATACGAACCTATAGAAACGGAATCGCATGGATTCTTGGCTTAGCTCTGGACAATGCGTGACACGACAAAGAATTCGAAGCATTGAGTATTATTAAGTGAATGAAGTCTGGATTGAAAGGTCGGTAGAACTAAAATAATTAATGTAAAATTGTAATGCATACATGGATTCAAAGTACTAGTAGTGTTTCATGAGCTTGGGATTGAGCATCAATATATAGTTGAGACTGAAATCAAAACTGGAAAAGTTGCATGCTGGCAGTTGCCAAGCCTGGGTTTCGGGCAATTGGACCTGATTTCAGACAGCTTTTAAGGACCTCGTGTGGCTGATCTTCTTGCAATTCTTGATTCTCTTGAGCCTCAGATGGTACCAAGTATTGAAATCTTGGACTTAGTTGATCCATCTGTGCCATTACCTTCTTGGTTTAGTGAAGAAGATGATCTCGACAAACGATAATGACCATGTGTGCTTGGGACAATCCATCCTTTTATACCACATCTTGCATTTCCCTCAGCAAAATTTTTCAGTATGCAGCAAGTGTTGGACGAGGTTCTTTACCTTTATTGAACAATTGAAGCTTATTATTCAAGATCGAAGAATATTCAACAGTTAAGTGATTCAGAAGCCAAAAAACGAAAAAAAATTGATACCAGGGTGCGAAATTGTAGCAAAATGATTTCAGGTATACTTGGAATTTCTTTGTGTTTTCTCCAAAAGGTTGGTTTCTTAATAGAAATGACCATTTGAAGTTTCAATTTGAGAATAAGAATTTTCTAGCTAGGTCCTGGAGACGTCAGCCATCAAGGCCATTCTACTACTGTTGCTCAAATACTTGCCTGATGATCAAAATTTTGCTGGAACAAAGCATAAATATATACAAAGCATCATTCATTTTCTCCTCTCTCTCTCTCAAACATGAAACATATATATATGTTTCTTGATCATATCCAGACTTAGTTATAAACCCCTTCATTTTTAGCGCCCCCCCCCCCCCCCCAAAAAAAAAAACAAAAACAAGAAGAAGAAGAAATGATTTCACCTGGGAACTGAACTAAAGTCATCACGGGATTTCCCATCTTCTTATCACATTGTACTTGTGAGTTGAATGAATAATTTCTTGCAGATATGGTGGCTTACGTGCATTCCAAACACTGCTCTGCAGTTTGCACAGAAGATATTAACGTTCCACCTGTAATTCCGGAAGAATAATTAATGCATGCATCATCCAGCCCTTGCACAGAAGATATTAAAAGACGTCAAGAAAAGGAAAGTTTGCCAATCCCACAGCATCATTTCATTAGATTAGACCCTGAGTTGACCAATGAAACTGAAATGCGACCAGATTTGCTCAAATCAATTTTATCATTTTTGACACAGAAATTAAATTGAGAGTTAATTACGTTCAACTCCAACAGCAAATCATACAAAGCTTCTTAAACCTATGTTGTAATTATGACTAATTCTAGTGGTTGGAAAGGAATGTCACAACAACACCCATAAAATAAATGTGAAGGGGCATAGTTTTGCTTTGTCTTTTATATATTTGGGACATGATTAAGATGATATAACAACAATAATGTTTGTTTGTCACATGCCTATGGCCCTTAATTGATATTTCAACTTCAAGTAGGCCATCATTTGCTGTTGTTATTATTGTTTTCTTCTTCTTTATTAATTGGAGGAGTGCATGATCGTGATTTTTTTTTTTTTTTGTTGTCAAACATGCATGATCATGATTTGATTTGTCTATTATCTTGATCCTCTCTTCTTTTTTTTTTGGGTTGGATGTGGGGGCATTGTAGGTTAGAAAGGAAAAGTCTCACCTCTTGCGTGGACCTTAAACAAAGTGGCACAATTGATTCTTCAACTTTACGCATCAAAATGGACCAGACATTTTGGACCCCTTTCACATTATGGGAATCCGAAGAATTGAGTTGATTATTCCATCAAAAATGAATATAGTACAAATATTTGTAATGGAAAAATAAGAATGCAATCTGTTCTGCTCTTATAATTAAGCTATATATATTCATTTCTAGCTTTTGTTTACACTCAAATTTCCTTCCTTTGTGATTCCTTTTTGGCAAAAACATAAAAATTAAAATTAAAAAAGACAACCAATCTCGATAATTCTTAGAATTCCTTTTTTTTTTCTTTACAATAATTTTTCCCCTTAATTAAAAAAAGACATAATTATAGAGAATGATGAAAACAATCGAAAAGTTAAAAGTCAAAGGCATGCAGCGTACGACTTGGTCTTTTTCTTAGTGATTAATATTTGGTGCGTGTAAGATTTATTCTTAAACTAAACCTTGAACGATGAGAACACAGACAAACACAAGTCAAAGCCTCGTACGCACAAACAAATTTTCTTGCTTAATTAAATGCTAATACTGCAAAATACAAATTATTGTTAAGAAATAAATCTCGAACGACAAAAACGTGAATTACTTTAATAGACATCCACGTAAGCCCATCAATAATTTAAAGTTAACAACTCAACCACTGTGTGTGTGTGTGTGAGTGTGTGAAATGGCCTATGGGAACGGGCCAGTGGGGGGATATAAATACATTTCTAGCGTATGACAATGTCCACCATAAATAAAAAAGTTCTTGAATTTTGCCAAAACCCCCTTCTTCATTGCCGACAGATCGAAGAGAAAATGCCAGCTGAAGAAGAGCTAAGAATCTTCGATATTTACTGGTTTGAGCATTGCATCCTTAGGAAAAAACAACCCTCAACCTCAAATCCAGTTCTTGATATTGATGAAGAGGTTGAACCAAAATTAAAGCTTTCTTCCACTCCTTCATTTGTTGTTAGGTCTTTTAGTGAGCAAAATTTGAGCTCCAAAGATAGCCCATCGACTGCTTCTCCTGATCATGGGTCTCCTTCTCCAAAGTCTGTTCTCCTTTTGCCTAAGCCACAAACGATTCTGTCTGGGAAGGAAGTCGGAGAGTTTTCAGAAGTAGAAGAAAATAAAGCTGGTTTTGATGCAGGGAAAAAGAGGAGGAGGAGGAGAGAGAGGAGAAGAAACAATAGCAAGAGTTTGTCTGAGCTTGAGTTTGAGGAGTTAAAAGGGTTTATGGATCTGGGATTTGTGTTTTCTGATGAAGATAAAGATTCAAGCTTGGTTTCCATCATCCCTGGATTGCAAAGATTGGGAAGGAATGTTGACGAAGAAGAAGAAAAGAAGGATTTTGCTGATGAAAAACCTGTTGTTTCAAGGCCATATCTATCTGAAGCATGGGACGTTTTAGACGAAAAGAAGGCTGAGAGAAAGGTAAAGAAGAAATTGATGAATTGGAAAATTAATCCAGGTTTGGGAAATGAAATGGAAATCAAAGATCAACTCAGGTTCTGGGCTCATACTGTTGCATCTACTGTTAGATGACCACTTTTTGTATTGTATATATATATATATATATATATATTTTCCCCTTTTGTCCGCTTGCAAGATAGAATCGTTTCATGTTACACTTCATAGTTTCATAATTTTTAGTGTTCCCTAAGAACAAAGTTCAATCCCTATAATCAAACTGCAGATAGCCTGTTGTGAATACTACAAAACAAATAAGATAAATACTGTATTTCAATTTGTAATTTTCATATGGCACAACAATAAAAAAATGCTACATTTGTGATGTAAGGTCATCACTACTATCTTTTTTTTGCATTGTATTTTTATTTTTATTTTTATTTTTTTGGTTAATTTTGGGTGCGATCATCAAAACGGTTTGAAAGATGAAAAACATAGAGAAAGACACAAGGGATAATGGAGCGGTAAAGGATAGTGCTCAACTGTGCCGTTGGGAATTTGAGTTGGAAAGGGTATCCAGCAGTGCAGATCCAAATGAATTGCTTTGCTGGCGCATCTGTCATTCCAAAAAGAAAGTAAGGCCAGTTGTTGCATATGGAATATTAGAACAGTTTGCAGATTCCAAAAATCTGAAAAAAATCATGCACAATATTTCAAATTCCAGATCTAAGTCAGCTATCTATAGGCCAGTTATATTGCATGAAACCTAATTGAAGATAAGGTGTGTTTGGATATCAAGAATTTCAAAAAAAAAAAAAAATTCAGATTTTGTTTTACTTACTCCATCATAGGCACAATTTCCAGCTACCTTTTTATCTCACATGCATCACATCACAAAAAGAGCTACACTGATTATTTCAAATAATCTCCTATCCAACCCCTAGGCTCTGTTTGAATATAAGGAAAATTGTATGGAAAAGTGAAGTGAAGGAGGAAAATGAAAATAAGTTTTTCATACACATTTGGTTACTAATTAAGAAAAACATTGTAAAAATACAAGAAGTTAATGACAAGCTAGTTAATAGCAGTTATGAGAACTTTTGTGTGTAATTAATTATTTTCCTTCAAAATCCTTTGCAGGACACAATATGCATGAAAATGCAAGAAAAAATTTTAATATTTCTGCCAACTAAACATGCATGAAGGGAAAAATAACAAACTTTTCTTCACTTTCCCACACTTTTCCGTGCAAACAAACACTATCCCATTGTTTCATCACGAGAAAATTTAGAACTTTTTTTATTATTGTAGAATAGAAATCTAGATCGCTATGAATATCCATAAAAAAAAAAAAAGCCCTTTTTTAAAGAACCGTTCCTTCGATTTATATCCCTCATATGTATTTCAAACAAACATCATCATGACTAACAAGAAAAATTTAACTCTTATTACTTAAAAATTTCCACTTGTGATCAGAATATGATACAAGCATAAATAACAATAATCATAAATTCAAAAAGATTCTACGGTTCTTTAGGAATTCATTCTCTCAATTTTTATCGCTTAGAGACAATAATTATTTGATTTTTCAAATGATTGAAATGATTACAATTTAAGGTTCCAAAACACTTATATTACCATCCACCTAAATTCATAAGTCGCAACTATTCCTGCAATTTGTGTTTGCTCTTTAACAATAAGCTCGTATTAGCTAGACAATTAGTCGCAACGATCAATGAGTATCATTTCAAAACTGCTTAAAGGAAGAATATGCTAAAAGAATAAAATCCCATCAAAATCGTGGGCAGAATTCAAAAAGAAAAAAAAAAAAAAAGAAGACGATAAAGAAAAGCATCTCCATCATATCATCACTTGTTGATCTCCTTCGTCGTATTATGGCACTTGGGAATTGATTAAGACTTGCAGCTCCTGTAGGTTTTGCGGTTGGTAAAGCTTCCATATGGCACAATTTTTTGTTGTAACTAACTAAAATTTGTTGGACATCTGAGTATTTTAATTTTCTTGTGTGATAATGACTTTTCTTTGGCAAAAAAAGAAAGAGAATATTACCGTAATAGTAGTTCAACCAAGAGATAGTTCAAAGAGGAATTTTCTTCATCCTTATCAAGTTGCATATTCCTCTTTTGATCATGTTAAAATCAAAAGTTAAAAATGCATTACAATATAAAGAAGAAAAGAAAAATATGTGAGAGTATCCATGTCTCTATTTCTAGATCAATATGCAATACGAAGCAATAAAATTTGTCAAAATTTATTCACAAAACAAAAATGAAAAAGGAAAATACATTATCAAAAAAAAAAAAAAAAACTCACGGCCCCGTAGTTTACAAATATGGGGTCATAATAAATCTCATCAGCGCTTATTACCTTTCTCTAATTTAGAAATGAAAATTACCATTAAAAAAAGAGTAAATCTTATATATACTGATGACGGTGTATACATTATCATGGTTGGATATATGACACATACACAAAATTTGACTTTCAAATTCAAATTCAAATTACGTGTCATATATCTAATGGTAAAAATGTATACGCTGTCAGAGTGTACAGAAGATCAATCCTTAAAACAATAAGCTCCTAAAAGAGAAGAATGAGAGAATTGATACTTAAAATGGGAAACAAGCAAGAGCCAGCGAGCGAGCGAGTAGCCTGAAATCTAGAAAAAAAAATCCTTATTGCTTTTACACGGGCAAGTCCTTAAATTCGACTCTACTTGCTTGGATGGATATTGAATCCTACTAGTCCTTGTTAAGGAAACTCATAAGTTGTCGAAAAGGACAAATGGAAAAAATAAAAATTGCTTCCGACAACTTTTGATCCGTTCACATTTATTAACAAGAAGCATATCCTGTTTGAAGTGAGGAAAAAAAATAAAAATAATAATAATAAGAGGGGGAATCATTTCTCCAGTTGAGTTGACTATTATGTCTCATTTTATACCACAATGCAGTGGCATTTTTTAATACAAAAGGAACAAATCTCTGCCCATGCCTACTTCTTCTTCAGAATATCAAAATAGCGAGTTGACGCCTACTTTTTCTTTTTTTAATGCAACATGGCCTCAATAAGGGCATTTTCGGCATTAAGGGGGTTTTTGTTAAATGTTTGATCATTCAAAGGGTGAGACCATTATTTAGACAAATTACAGGAATTTATTGGTAATATAGTCAAACCTCAGGGGAGGTAAATGTAATTAACCCATTATTTAATTAATTGGAGCAAGAAATTTCCTGACCCCATATCTACTCGGCCTTATTAGCAAACTTCCAAGTCATAGTCTTGACTGGCATTGCCTAAAAGGGCAATGATATATGCCGGAAGTTTCCTTTTTTTCTTTAGGGAAAAGAAAAATCATTGTAACCGATATATATATACATATATATAGAGAGAGAGAGAGAGAGAGAGAGATAAAGCATAAAGATATTTTATTCATCATGGGATTCCTTTTAAGAATTCCGCTCGACAGCATACAGGATATCAATTAAACTTTACTTAGCCTATTACTGAATTATGAAAAAGATGAAAAAAAAAAAAATTTTCAACAACAATATGTGATGAGCAAAAGGTAAACCAAACAACACACCATTTTATTTTTGATGTTCAAAAAAGAACAAAGAATTAATTTCATCAACTCACAGCAGCCTTTTCCATGATCTCCTCAGAACCTCGGACGCTTGCATTCAACAGGAAGGCCTTGAGGATACCTCTTACGATCAGCACAGTAGTTGTAGATCATGTGCTTCTGTTGAACCCATCGGATTCTATTTCGTCCTTTGCCATCAAGTCCTTGAGTTTCCCATTCTTGAGTGTTCAGAGAATCTGTGGATTTAGAGCCAGAACCACAAGGAGATCCAGGAACACAAACGTCTCCCTTGACGTTGAAGTTTCTGTAGTAAACTGTGAATGGTGCATTTGCCCAATCTGTCTTCACTTGGCCACCTTGTGTTGCCCAGTCATCTGCATTCCAGAAACTGCAATACACCCTCATTGGTTGGTTCTTGGGGAATGGAACTCCAATGGCTTCGTGGTTGTTGTATACTCTTATAGGAATGTTATCAACCAAGAAACTGAAAGTAAATAAAAAATATATATATATATCAACATTTGGTGAAAATGGATGGAAATCAAAATTTAATGGAACTTGAACTAATAATATTTAGTAACTTTTATAGATTAATCTTTCTCATGCTGAGAGGAATACAATAACGGTCAAGAATGCGTGTTCGATGTGTAAGACTTGAAGTTAGTGTAAAAAAAAGAAGTTAGTATAAAATATTGAAGTTATTATTTTTTATGTTTTGACTAGCATGTTAATTGAAAGGACTAAGAATGGATCATCAGGCAGATGGGATCAAAAGATAATTAATGTGCACCATGCATCTATAAATATTATTTTTTTTATGGGCATGGTATAGGGACTTACATTATACGTTGAGAGTTCCACACCATTGTATAGGTATGAAAGAAAGTTGTGGGATCAAACCAAAGCTTAAATTGCTGTTCTTTATCCCCTTTTCCTTGTGAGTAAACATTGGTGTGGAGAGTGTATGGTTGCCCACTAGCATTACCCAAGAACTCAAAATCAATCTCATCATGTCCCTGTCCTACAGATGACAGCTACAGAAGAATATGATTGCCATTAGCCACTTAATTAAACACCACAAATCTAATTAACACATTGGAAAGAGAAACTTTTATTTTTCTTCGGGGGAAAAAAAAAAAGAAGAAGAAGAAGAAGCGCTGATGATCATGAACTTACATAGAATGTGGTGACAGTGCCAGCAGAGTTTCCAGGGACAAGCTTGAGTTGCATGTCAAATCTTCCAAACAAATATTCATTCTTGGATTGAAACCCTGAACCTGATGATTTATCTAGGGACAATGAGAGAAGTCGACCACCCTCGGCTATCTTAACTCGTTGATCGCCAAAAGTTGTGACAGCATCTTGGTAAAAATTACCAGCGGAGGTAGCTAAGAGCAGTGTCATGAACACTGAAAGCTTCAGCCAATTACTGCAAGTGATGGACTTCATTTTCATTGATGATGGAGAAAAACACTGAACAATGGGAACTGTGAAAGGAATTAAAGGGTTTAATTTCTTTTTGGTGGTGGCTAACGTGAGAGGATGAAGACTTTATATAGGATGCTCTGCTCTTTTTGGGCATTCTTTCATGATTGACAGTCATGATTTAGGAAACATCATAGGGGAGAGGAAAGAGCCAGCCAAGGTTGTATTGGATGGCAAAGTTAAGGAGCTGGCAAAATGTTTTCTCATGCATAATTTACGAGACAGAATGGGAGATTCCGCGTTGCCGCGGCGGTGGGGGGGACAAGTTTAATTGGAAAATTGTTCATTATTCAACTTTTGGTATGAACAAATCTGATAATACAAATTATGGGAGCCTAGCCTGGCCTCCAATGGGGAATAATGGTGACAAACTACCAAACAGTCATAGACTCCTTTGATTGATATTATTTTCAAGTGTATACAAACAAGTCCTTCATTTATTTATTTATTTTTTTGAAGTATTTTGAGTGTTCTAGTAGTTAAAGTAACATTAACTATTGCTCTTAAAAAGCTAATTAACATATAACGTAGGTGTGTTAGGATAAGAGATTATTTGAAATAATTTTTTGAAAAAGAAATACCATAACGCCTTGATGTGATACATATATAAAATAAAAATGTGATTAAAATATATGTTATTGATGCGAGCAGATAAATTTACGTAAATAATTTACTATCCAAATTTGTTTTGATTCAAGAGAGACTCCAATGCCACCACCTCCACCTCCACCTCCACCTTCCCTCTCCGTTCCCCGGGCCCCCAAGGCAAAAGACTTGTTAGTGCCTAGACTTCTTATTCTTGGCAATACATAGACCACATGAATTGCATTAGTCGACTAGTATGCATTTATTGTTTGATTTTGAGTTTTGTCACCTACTACCACTAAATCTTCTTGGTCAAGTTCATGCACTACAATAATTATAAAGTTTTGCAGGATTTGGGCACTAATTGACACCACTAAAATTTTCAAACAAAAGAAGAAAATAATGCCTCCCCACCATCCAAAGAATTGAGTAGTTTGATTATGATCTAGTACTGGACTGGCGAAAAATGTAATGTTTTGGTTTAGTATACTTTTATTTTTTTTTTTAATAGCAATGGCAATACTAGAAAGCTCAAGCTTAAGTTGAGTTTGAGCTCGATTTGAGCTTATTTTGCTTTCTCGAGCAAGATCAAACAATTTAATCGAATTGATAACGAGCAAGACTGAGTTCCAGTTCAAATAAATATCTTCAAGTTCAAGTTCGAGGCTTCAGGCTTGATTAACTCGTTGCCACACCTAGTACAAGAAAGTGGATCGCATCATGAGATAATGATCAAAATGTGATAAGGACATATAATTCCTTTCTTTTTTTTTTGGAGGGGGGGGGGGGTGGTGTTTGGATCAAATTTAAAAGTCATCCCTTCCCCACGAGGGAATTTGATCTGGTGCAGAACTTGTTTAAGGTAGATAAGGAGAAATGCTTATGAAACAATTGGAGCTAAACTACATTTCTTAGTGGACAAAAAGGGCAATCCATTTCAGCCTCAAGCTTATTGAAAATTTGATCTCAGTACAAATCTTATCAAACTAATCACAGTCAAACGATAAGCTAGGTTTAATTAGCATTAATTCTAGCACATTCCAATGACTTCACATCCCAACTAACACTGCAATAATTGGAAGAAGTCAGGAGCATACCTTTGCTATTATATTATATGTTAGATGAGACAAACGAGGGCTTACTTTATTATTAACCACTCATGAGATTCTAATAATAGTCCACAAATAATTGAGCAATATGCTGCTATTGTAGCTATATACTTCAAAGCTTGGGAAGAAATACTAAGAAGTTTCCTCTGTCTCCCAGTGTTTTTGGCATTTTATCCACAGAAGAGATCACTATGGCCGCTGAAGAAATTCTGAAGCTCTTTGATTCTTATTGGTTTGAACATGGAATATTTACTAGCAAGCATTGCTTAGCATCTTCAACTAGCAAGCCTATTCATGATCAAGAAGAACATGAGCTTGAAAAATCAAAGCTTGCGAGCATAGTAAACCTTCAAGTTCGTTCTCTAAGTGATCACTGTGTCAGCTATGATACAGGTTTCAGCCCAAATGCTGCATCTCCCAAGTCAGCGATTTCCACACCAACACTGCCAAAGATACTCTCTGGAGTAGAAGTGAGTGATTTCTCTGAAAGGATTGAAGAGCAAGAAAAGATTGAAACCACAACCACGAAAAAATTCAGTAACAGGAGGAGGAGGAGTAGAGGTATTAGCAGAAGCTTATCAGAATTGGAGTATGAGGAGCTTAAAGGGTTCATGGACTTGGGATTTGTGTTCACAGAGGAAGATAAGAGCTCAAGTTTGGCTTCAATCATACCGGGATTGCAGAGATGGGGAAAGCAAGGCAGCAATGAACTAGTCCACGACAAGTATGCAGTGTCAAGGCCTTATCTTTCTGAAGCATGGGGTGTTCTGAATCAGAGGAAGGTAAATAAACTACCAGTACGCTGGAGATTTCCTGATGTGGACAATGAAATCAACATGAAAGACCAACTTAAAGCTTGGGCACAGACTGTTGCATCAACTGTTAGATAAGACATGTTTCTTTGGATCTTTTTCCACTTACATTTGCTCTTGTCCATTGGTTTTTTTCCTGTTTCTAGTTTCACTTCAGCTTCCATGCGCCAACCTGGAGAAACTGTAATTGTAAATAAGGAGATGATAAAAAAGTAAGCCCTTGATGCCAATCCTACTCTGACTTCCTCAAAGACGGCCTTAGAAAATAGCAAAAAGACAATGTTCTTGCGTCATAATAAAGTGCTGAAATGAATCCTTTACACATCTTTGTCCACTACATAGCACATCTCAGCATGCACTGTGCAGAATTAACAGTGAGCTTAACAATGATTGTCTAGTGCTGCAACCAATATAAGAGTCTACTATAATTTGACAAGTTTTCGAAGTGGGATGCCTAGCCAAATGCTAAACAAGAAACAAAATAAACAGGCACCAGAGGAAACCTGCAAGAAATTTTCTTCTTTTGACTGTACATTTTTACACTCTGCTACACTGGACAATGAGTCCTTGATCAGTTTCATCTTAAAAACAAGAGAAGTAATCATTGATGGATGTCCACATTACTAGTATGACGTTTTTGAAGCTGAGCAGAAGAAAACGTCACCAAAAATGAGATAAAATGCAAAAGCAACGCCATACAAAAAGCTCTATATTTACAACGAGGTAGGTGTTCGTGATTACGACAGGTAGATATTAAATTACCAGAGATTAAGCCAGTTCCAGCTGGGAACTGCCTTGTTGTGAGACCTAATTCATTCGCTTTGTTTTTAAGCACACATAACCCATAGAAGATATGACACTCATATTATCCCGTTCTTGAAGGTCTTCAAAAACTGATGATAAGTCCATACTAGCCTCAAAGGCTTTTACAGGAGACAATATACTATATCGAGGCAGGACTGGAAAAACCAGAAAAACAAAGGGCTTGAATCCTTTTGCCTTCCTTATAGACAATATTCTTGTAGTATATTCCGCAGCTTCTAACCAATGTTGCCATGTTGAAATAAACTAACTTGAAAAGAATCAGTTAACCAGTCGAGGCCCACTCATTGGACAGTAGTAACCCATTCCTTCAGAGACGGTGCCCCTTCACACATGCAATAATAAAAGAGTCTCTGAAATCATGAACAAGTCAAGTACCATCTTCCCATAACAAACACAAAAGAAAGAATTACTCCACACCCAAGTTGATGTGAGTCTGTTAAAGTAGTACATGAGAATAGGAGTTGCCTCCACAAGTTTTGGAAGCATTCAGATGAAACTTATGAAGCAAATAGATCTCTTCTGGTAATTTTTTGTACTTTCACTGCAGAAAACATGAATTTCAAAGGAAAACCCACATATTTTGTTGGATGATCATGAGCAGACAGCGACGACATGTAGCGCACAAAATGTGCAAGAATAATGCTTTATTGATTATCTATAAGACAGTTGAACGAGCCAATATCAAGTTTACTATATGCACGGTATCTACTATGAGTTGCATATGCGTCCAACAGATGGAATTTAGAATCAATAATTACATAGAATCGTGAAAGTGAAAGCTATCAAAATTACAGCTTAATTTTCAGTGTTAGAGATTGTTTCTGGAAGTTTAATGGTGGGTGGTTTATCAACACCCCTTCTTGAGTATTCCCTCCATCTTCGAGCAGCCGCCGCAGCTCTACTTGCTCTCTCTTTAACTTCTTCCTCTGTGGCATCATACAAATTCTAGTCATCTTATTAGTCTTAGCATAAACTTCAACTGAATATTCAGGTAGTGATTTCTTTTTTCCTGGAAGGTTGTACAATGTTTATGTAGGATGCAGACACTGAAACATCTATAGGCTACAGAAAGAACATGTCCAATTTACCTTTCCAAATTTTATACATGTTCAAGAGGTACGAGTTTGCTGCTTTGATAAGCTTATAAATAATTAAATCAAGCTCCACTTCAAAAGTGGATCGTTTAGTGATAAACATTGGAGCAGTCTGAGAGAAGACAATCTGATTCGATGATCCTAATTGGCTACAGCTGATTCAAAGAAAGAAGGCTACCAAATTGAAATCTTGCCAAAATGGGTAAACCCAATGTGTTTTGAACAACTTGATCCTCCTTACCTGAATTTCTGTAGCCCTTTGGTTTGCCCCAGAGATTGTTCCAAAATGCTTCATATTTATCAGATTCTTTCTGTTTCATCATCCTCCTTTTTACTTCTTCCTACAACAAATTAATGAGGTTGCATTGTAAGATAGAAGCGGAAAATTGGAAATTAACTAAATTTGAAAGATAATTTTATCCCTACTTCTACGTAAGTATTTACCAAGATCTTGGTTTGTCTCTTTTCCCATGTAGAACTTGCCTGTCAATTGAGTGAAATCAATTAGATGCAAATGACCAACAGCAGTCAGAAAAATGTTCAAAAATCAGATAAAATTCTGAAAGTTCTTTGGATACTTGACAAATGCGTACATTTGTGCCATGGAGAACCTTAGATTTCATGTCAATATTTATCTAGTGATAATGGAAAACTATATCTATATGTAAAACACGACTTAGATTTGAGGTTCAATCATCTAAATGTGCCATTTACTCTAGTTTCTATCAGCTTTGAACTTCAAGACAATTTTCTTTATAGAGAAAACTGCAACCGAATCTTTAGGCTGTCAGCAGTCACATTTCTTGAATCCCAATTTTTTCCTGATGAATTCTATTTTAGTCTTTATAACAGGATCACTATTACTTCTCCTTACCTCCGCTCATCTTTGTCAAATAATCCAACTAAGTGATTCTCACAGGCAGTCTGAGCATTTTGGAGATAACTCAATGTATGGTAGATTAGAAAATGTCTTACCATTCTGAAAACATCTACACCTGCAGAGCCCATTCCTGAAAGCATGAATGCTACCTAATGATCAATAAGAAAAGGGAAAAAGTAAGACACTTTTTGGTGGTCAGGTCACCTGAAGATGAAGACTAAACCAAAGCATCTCTCATATTGAAATGCCCAAAATTAGGCACTTTTGTCACAATACTAGTTCTGAATGATAGAGAGATGAACTAATTTTTCTCAACAACGACAATGTAGATGCATAATTTATCACTAAACTAGAACTCCTTAAAAAGCATGAAAAGAAATAGGTATCAACAAGTTTGATTCTAAAGAACTCCTCTCAGGCCATTGAGAGATGCATCTATGCATCAAAAATCTTATCGGTTTCTCCTCCAGCCTTCTCCCAAGAATGCATCCAATAGTAATAATTACTGCTGCTCCACAAGGCTTGAAATAGCTTGATAATTGAGCAGGCTAATAATGAACAGATCTTTTCCATTCAAAGCTAATAAAAGAAGTTTTTAAACCATGTCTGTCTCCTTGTTTAGCAAGTATTCAACCACAATAATGAGCTAGAGAATATTTTGAAGCCATATACTGCAAAATCTAGTCCTAAAGTTAGGACAGAAATACAGAAAGAGTCCAAGGAGAATATAGCTCACATTTACTCTGTCTACCCTTCGCATTTCATCTTCAAGCAAAGACAGCTGCTGAGCGGAAGTCCAGTGAATGCAGTCAACAGGGCTGAAATGAAGCAGCATTTGTTATATTAGATGCATAAAACAGATTCATTTTGACAACCAAAACCTAAACAAGACAAGTAGGAGACACTTAAAGGACTGTATTCTAATTTGAGCTTTATCAGAAACCAAATATAATAGTGAACCACTTAAAAGTGAAATAGATTCTTGGGGAGTATCCAATTCCTAGCCAGCCTAAGGTCCAGTTGATATCATTCGGTAACCTCTTATATGATATTCTATGATATTCAATTGAAAACCTTTCAACCATATCCTGATTTCAAATCAGACTAAATCAAGTTGAGGTTATCGTGTTATCCATAAGTAGATATCTCAAGTTTAATACCTTCAACTTTTCGGAATTACTGAGTCAACTTACCATTGTCATGGCTGCACAACACACTTATCACATACTTTTCTCTTGATTCCCTATCAAAGTTTCATTAATCCATCTTTTAACTCTTAGTTGTTTCAGGTTCTGGTGATTGTTGAGTTTTATTATTCATTATGCAAGATTGTTAGGTCAAAGTTAACTTTTTCAAGTATTTGCAGTTGCATTTTACTCATAAAGTAAAATTGCATTCTTATTAGGATAAATAAGTGACTTGGAAGTCTTCTGATCCTGTGCTTTTACTGTAAAACTAGTTTAAGGCAGGTTATTCATAGGAAATACTTGAAGAAGGCTAGTTTCAAGGTATAAAGGATTTTGAAAATCCCAAGAAAAGGAAAATCACAAGCCTCCGGGAACCCAACCAATATAAATTACCATGTTTAATTCTATTTCTTTACATATGCTCATGTTCCTGTGTTCCAGTGATATTTATAGCACAGCAAAATCATTATGGCAAAATCATACCAACTATCAATAGCTTGCTGAATTAAATCAGGGTTTCCAGACTGAGTATACGCTCTGGCTCTACCAAAGTCTTCCTCAATGGTGAATACAGCTTTGCAAACATTTGTACAATTTTTACAGCCTGTTAAGGGAGAGGAAGAGAAGATGTTGTTAGTGGCAAATCACAGAATGTAGAAGTAACAACTAACAACCCATAACCTTTCCTATATGTTGGGGACTAGCACAATATCCAATATGACATTAACCCTTCAATTACACCTAAAGGAGTTTCTCTGATTGAATTGCCAGAAAATGTTCCTATGACAACATCAAAGCAGTATCAAATAGTTCCCTGACTTCAGAGAGGTCAGAAACTAGTCTCAAATTTTTATGTTTACGTCTATTATCGCTGGATATGGGTATGCAACTATCTGCACTAGTGAAAATTTGATTTAAAGCCAAATTCTTGTCAATGGGATGACAGTGTTGTAAAACTTCTCATAACAGCACAAGATTAATCAACAAGGTCAACTCAATTTCTGAAGATACTTTCTCAGAAGCTTAAACGATGAATATTCTGAATGCCAATCCTAAATTAAGAGGAATTTCATTTTTGCATGGTGTAGCAAG